TATTGTTGAAGCAACTGAACTAAAGTTCGGGGAAGTGCTACGGTCCTTGAGATTGCAACGTCTACCAAAACTGAGTAGTATCAACAAAAGTTGCAGGCACATGCCACTTTTCATTGAACAGGTATGTCATTAAATTGTTTAATTTTTTTTAATTCTCCAAGCCATCTTTATTATTTCTTTGAGTCGAAGAATAACCGAAAAATAGTGATTGAATTGCCCTTGGACCTTCGGCCAGTGACGTTAGATTACATATAAATACATTCTTCTCTCCTGAGAGTAACGATTTTGAATCAGACCCTTGTGAATTTGTTAAAAAAAAAAAAATAGTGATTGAATTTTAACTTGCTAGGTCTCACGTCCTGAGTTAAGGCTATACCACTACCATCGATGGATAGTTAATTATTACAGGGTATAATATTTTCCATTTTTAAAATTACTTTTTTGGGTAACATTCTTAAAATTAATTAAATAAATGCTTAACATTTAATTTGTCTTATTAAATGATTAAATGGGCTAAGATATATTTAATACAACCTCTCAAGTCTCAACAGCAGGCTCATGTTATACTCTGCTTTGATTCATTTACTGTCATTTTTTTCAATAAAAGAATGGTTCAATTTACTTATTAATTTTAATTTTAATTTTTAATATGATATTAAAGTTTTCTCAAAAATAAGTCTTTTTAATTCTCAATTTTGTCCTTGTTAATGATTGCTTTATTCTTAAAGAACACATTTAAACTTCTCAAATACTTTTATTATTTAGGGTAAATATAAAATTGACTAATAATAAGTGCATTTTTATAAATTTTTATAATTTATTTAATGATCATATAAAACAAAAATGTGACAAGTAAAATAAACTAGAGGTGGTATTTGATATTGAATAATAATAATTGTTGACACAAAATTTTAGGACAATTTTAGGACTAATATTTCAACCAATAATCATGTTGGGTTATATGGAACTCACAATATAATCAAGGAAAATAATTAGTACACTTTGATTTGATGTTTTTTTTTTTTTATAGTTGTCTAGTTAAATTATTAAAATATAATATATAATATAATTGATTTAGTTAGTTTTTACATGTTTTTTTTATATATATTATTAAGTTTGTTTTTAATTTCATACTAAAAAATAGTAATTTTTTTAACTAACATGTGTAATGTGTTGAAATGAATAGTGTATCAATAAGTAGTATTCTATAATCAATGACTACCATGAATCCATCCCAAATTTTGGTCTTAAAAATTGGCTCTAACTATGATTATTCTTTTATATTACTAATATTACTAATATTTGAAATTTTATATAAAAGTTATAATTATTTTTAGTCAATATAAAGTTATAAAATTTTGAAATAAAAAGAAAAATTAAAAATTAATTACGTCACAAAATAATTCTCAAATTCATACATTTTGGTTTTTATTGGACAATACTTTGCATGTTTTATTTTCACACGATACCTTATCTAAAA